CTCAAGGACGCTTTTGCCAATCAGGGCCGGCTCCAGGGTTTTGGCTGCCGCAAGCAGCCAAAAAAAAAAAAAAAAAGCCGTGATCGCGATCTGCAGCGGCACTTCGGCGAGAGGTCCTTCACTCCGAGCGGGAGTGAGGGACTGTCCGCCAAATTGCCGCCAAATAGCTGGACCTGCTGCCCCTCTCCGGAGTGGCCGCCCCAAGCACCTGCTTGCCAAACTGGTGCCTGGAGCCGGCCCTGTTGCTAATATAGCTGTGTCTACCTGCAGGGTTTTGCTGGCATAGCTATGTTGGACAAAGGGTGTGGATTTTTTTCACATCTGAGTGAGTCATGCCACCAAACATTGTAGCATAGTTCTGGCCTGTATGAAAAGCATTATGTAAAACATTGCTACACTTATTAAAATAGAAGAATACGTACACTGAAATATACTGCTACCTATGGCCAACCGGTATAGGTATGTAAACCTATACAATTTTATCTAGATTTGAATATAAGCTCATGTGTGTGCTGGGATTTCCCAGCTCCTAGCACATGATGGGAGAATCAGAGATAGCAGGGGCGGAAGAATCACTTTGTTCATCCTCTGGCATTTTGCAGGACTGCCCCATCCATCACTCCCATGAACCTCTAGTGCAGGGATCGGCAACCTTTGGCACGCGGCCCGCCGGAGTGAGCCCCCTGGCGGGCCGGGCCAGCTTGCTTACCTGCCCCTTCCGCAGGTTCGGCCGATCGCGGCTCCCACCGGCCGCAGTTTGTCGCTCCAGGCCAATGGGGGCTGCGGGAAGCCGCAGCCAGCACATCCCTCGGCCCATGCCGCTTTCCACAGCCCCTATTGGCCTGGAGCAGCGAACCGCGGCCAGTGGGAGCCGCGATCGGCCGAACCTGCAGATGCAGCAGGTAAACAAACTGGCCCGGCCCGCCAGGGGGCTAACTCTGGCGGGCCGCAGGCCAAAGGTTGCCGATCCCTGCTCTAGTGTAACTTGTAATGCAGGAACTCACGGGAGCCCTGGATCTGCACACAGCTCTATGACATAATGGAAAACTTGAGTAGTTTTGCTCAGGTAACCTGAATCTTTAGATTAAAACCCTGGTTTCAAAGTACACTTTGGGTACCCAATCCCAGCATATGTTCTCACCCTCTCTGGGACCTTGCACAGGGTTCCACAGCAAGGAGACTGGGTATATTTTTTTTATTCATCTCTCCTCTTAATGAGATCTAATGTAACTGCATGTTAATCAGTAATGTTCAGTAACCAGAAAGTGTGCTTTTAAAAACTCTTCTGCCTTTGTGATCCTTGTTCCTTCAGATGAACTCCACCATATTCTGAAGCTAAATTTAGCCTCAAACTCCCACCATTTAAAACAAATTCCTTTAAAAATGCTAATAAATCTAAAGAGCAGGAGACAGCCCTGCCTGTAAGTTGCAGGCCAGCTCAATTCATTGAGAAAAAAAAAAAGAACACTGCAGCGCATCAAGGACTGTGCTCAGATGTCACGGCTTTTCAGGAACAGATTTTATTGCACTCCCAAGTCACTGTTATCCAACAAAATGCAACGTACTGGGAACAGACCCTCAAAGCTCACAGCATCTACATCTGATAGCTAGAAAGTGACTGAACGGACACTCTTATTACAGCTCACCATTTTAAGGTGTTTTTACCATGTGCAACTCCCACTGTCCTCAAGGGAAAAAATCTTGAGGTACAGGGCTGGCATTAGATATAATTCTTGTAGGCAGCCATCTAGAGCACTAATTTTTTTTTCAGGAGACCCCGCTCCAGCCACACTAATCCCCAGACAGGAGAGTTTTCAGGAGCACAAGTGAGAAGCTCTCCCACCAACATAGCGCTGTCCACACTGGCGCTTATATTCGTGTACCTTATGTCACTCGGGGGGTGATTTATTCACACCCAAGTGACATAAGTTATGCCGACATAAGCAGTAGTATAGACGTAGTCTGTGTTTATACATTTCAGTTTGATACTGGTGGAAGCACCTAAACTGGCTAGAAAGCAAATCCAAAAAGGCCTCGCTAAAAGGCCAACAGTTTTTCGTACTTTTTTTGGATGTCAAGAGAGCTAACTTGAGCTGAAGGCTCAGTGCAGTGTGCCAGTTTCAGGGTCTCCTCTGTGGAGGAAGAGGGGATAATTGTCATACAACAGCCACTATGGCATTTTGCACTTCTACAGTACCTTCCATTCAAGGATCACAAAACATTTTGCAAGCATTCATGAATTTAGCCTCATAACCCCCCCGTAAAGCTGGTATTATTATATCGGTTTTATAGATGAGGAACTGATGATAGAGATGTGAATTGGCTTCCCCAATGTCACACAGGAAATCTGTGGCAACAGAGTGCAATTCATTTAACAAGATTGGGCTTGAACCACAAGACCATGATTGACTCAAATTAATGTCTGTAAGTCACTCTAAAGATGTAACGCACTATACAGTTACCTATTATTTATTACGAATGGCACTTGGTTCGCTGCAGGAAAAGAGAACAAGCATCAGGAGTGAGGCATTATACATGCAGCAGGGCTGGTCAGTATATTGCAATCTCTCTGGAGTCCCATTAGAATATTTACCAAGAATCAAATTTAAATTTCAAAATAATTTACAGTAATGTCTCAGGGCGTCCTGCTTATCAGCTGTGCTGAAGGGCACGTTTTCAAAGACTTCCTCTATGATTCAATCATCTGTCCTTGTATTTCTCCTTAGAACTGCCTGCAGTGCTAGCAAGTGAGTCAGCTCTCCCTTTTGCCACATGGGACAAAGAACTTTCTACAAAGAACTTTTAGAACTCTGTCAAAATAACCAGGTGTCGGAGGCGGAGGGGAATGACCCACTAATCAGCAGGGCTTAAAAATACAGCCCCCATCTTTTGGTGACTCAAGAGCTAATCAGGTAACTGCCTAAAGGAAATCATCTATGTACAACCCCAACTTGCTCTTTGATTTTACAATTGCTGTACTGGGATTTAAAAGTCAGATAAGCCCCATTTTAAAAAGCCACCATCCTGCCTCCAGGCTAGTCTTTGTCAGCTTTATTATTATTAATCCAGTACCAGCATTTGGAGCTGTTTCTCTTTTTCAAAAAGACTTTGATTCATCAGCCGGCTTTTGGTTTATAGAGCGCATGGCAATCGGTTTATTTAATCAGAGCTTGGCCCATTTTCTAATTTAGTGGGATAATTTTGGCTCATTTCCTGCAACGGTGAACTTGCTGGGGCACAGCTCATCCTTAGCAGTTGCATTAACGTTTGAGATGATTTGTCATGTCTGTGTTCACTTTGGCAATCAGTTCCCTCCTCTCTGCCCAGAAGAAGAGGAAGATACAGACATATGTTTTTATGCATTTGCATGCTGTGGTCTAGGCTGATGGTTGCCAAGAAGATTCTGGAAGCGAGGCAGCGAGAGCAGGTGGGGCTCCATCAGCCTGCTGACATGGTACTTCCTGATGCAGGTCAGGGACATAACCTCTTTGAAGCTGCTGAATTCCATCAGAATTCTAAAAAGAATTTCCATTTCCAGGAACAGATTGCTGGAATGCAAGAGGTTTTGCACACAATGGACATATCACCAGATGGATTACATTCCTCGCTCTGCAACTGACTCACTCTGGACTTGGGCAAGCTCCTTCGTCACTCTGGCCAAATTCAGGAATAAGGGGGTTAACAACTGAAACTGTCTTTACTCTCTCTGTATTCTGGGGCCAGCACAGACCTCAGGGCTGCTCTAACTTGTGGAGCAGTGTTCTCCAAACACGCTCTGGTCTACCTCTCATATCTCCTGCCTCTGACATGTCCCCAGGCTGGGCACAGAGATGGGGGATGAGGTAGAGCTGCTTTAGTATCTCTATGCCAGTGGGAAAGCCCTCTTTTCTGTAGCCGTATCCTCAAGGGCCTCTTTTCATCCCTTTAAGGCCCCTTTCTGCTGCCAGTGTGGTGTAAAGGGGCCACAGTGCAACAGAGAATCATCCCCGCTATGCTTAAGTTTTCCCATCTGTAACATTGGCATAACAGGTACCTACAACAAAGAGATGTTGTGGATTAATTAATATCGTAAAAGGAAATTTCTTAACTGGTCATTCCTTTCTGGGGACCACTGGGAAACTCTTGTCTCCTTTGTCTCACTCCACATTTCCTGCTCCAGTCAAGATAAACACATAACCCTTCCTCCACACACAAACAGAGGCATCTGCTTTACACACAAAGGCATCTACTTTTTGCACATGTGCATGCAGACACACAGAGAGAAAGACACAGAGGCAAGCGTCTGCTTTCTACACACGCAGGGACGCATTTCTGGTCAGCCATGCTCGTAATGTGCATTTAACCATTAAAAAAGCAGAACAGTGCCAACGCTTCCTTAATAACTTGTAGGATACAGAATTGCGACTTCGGACTCGTGGAGAACCCTGAGCCCCATCCATTCTAAAGGTGCCCCCGGGCCCGGTGCTAACGTTTGCACAGAGAATCCCTTTCCAAATTGAACCTTCCCTCTCCTCTCGAAGATGTTTTTAAACCTTCAGGAAATAGTGAAAGTATGTCCCATTTCTGGAATCTCATCTTTGGAGACAATAAGTTAAACATTGATCTATCTAGAGCCAAGGCTCCTAAGTCAAGGGAAGTGTCTGGTTTTGTCTGAATCTCTGACTGAAAGTGAATAAATCCAAGTGCAGCACACCCACTACTTTCACAAACACCTACATAATTATTACAAAGGAAATCCTACTTCACTGTTATACAGGTCACCTCCACCCTCCCCTCCCTCACCCTGCACTCTATTCTTACTACTTCCCCAATTGTAAATGCTGCAGTAGAGGGAATTGGCCTATTGCAGAGGCATGCGTTCATTTATTTAAATGGTCTGTCTTGAAACACAGACATTTCATTCCTAGTGGAGATCAACTGTGACAGGTTTGGAAAAGGCTCAATTAAGGGAAAGAAAAAGGAGAATTCTCCACCACGTTAGGCTGTAGGTTACCACTTACCAAAGGCTCTAGCTCCTTGCGGTCTATGACATTGAGCTCTGTTACAAAGTAATAAAAGTGCTTGTAACAGGTATTGACGTGGGCCTCAGCTCCCATGATGATGATGCGGTCGAAGTGATGAATGTAGACGTGAACGAATACCCGGAACAGCCTGCACAGGATCTTCTTGCAGATCTGAAGGAAGTTCTTTGGAAAGGGAACACCTGTGAACAAAGAAGGGAGGATAATTGCTTTAGATTAGATCACGGCTTTCTGAAAGGGAGTTCTGAAGATTCAGACATAGGCTCCAATCCAGCAAAGCACTTACGCCTAGAGCCCTGTGCACATACAAAATTTGTATCTGCATCCGATCCACACACATGGTCTGTGGATATAAAGCGGATATCCGCAGATTTGCAGGGCTCTAGATATAAAATTTGGATCCTCATCCATCCACGATTCGCAAACATGGTCCATGGATATCTGCATCTGCGGATCCAAAGTGGATATCTGCAGATTTGCAGGGCTCTATTTATGCCTGTGCTTATCTTTTTACCTACGGTACTGTGATCACTCACTGTAGCGGGGTGGCCACCCCGCTCCTGCCCGGAGGGGTTAAAACAGACCTGGAGAGGGCTACAGCTGGGAAAAGAAAGGCTGATTGGGGAAGCAGCCACAGGTGAGGCCACGCCCCAATCAGGCCATGGCTAGCCCTATAAGAGGGCTGAGAGCCAGAGGCTGAGAAGACACTCTCTCTAGCCTTTTGAGAGAGAAGGACCTGGCTGCCTGGGAAGCTGAGGAGGGTACCTAGGTGGAGCAGTGCTGGGGAAGGGCAGAGGCTGGGGAACTCCAACCTAGCAAAGCCCAGACTGCAGGCTGAGTTAAGGGCCCACAAGAGTACTAGGGCAGCCTCCCTTGCCGATGATGAGTGATTTGCAGACTGCTGTCCGCCCCAGGGATCGGGGGCTAAATGGAGACGGGCGGTAGCCACTGAGGCAAGGTGGGGAAAGGGGGCTGGGGGTTCCCCTGGGAGGGAGACCCAGACAGAGGGAGTACTGCGGTGGGCAGAACCCCTGGGTAAAGGGTACCAGGGTCCGGGAGGGACATGGGGGCCAGCGGCAGTCGAGACATCAGAGGGTGCTCCAGAACTGGAAAAGAGCTAATTCCCTGGACAACCAGCAGGAGGCGCCGCGCCGGTGAGTCGTTGTCCCGCCACACTCACGTTTAAAAGTGATCATGAGCTTAAGTGCTTTGCTGGATCAAGATCATAGGCACTGGTACAGGTCCCACAGACAACAACGAGGGCCTTGCGATTTACTTTAAGGGGGGCAGAGCCAGACTCTTAATGTCCACGAGTATGAATCTGATTCCCAAGTGTACCATCTTGCTTAGGGCTTGGCTACACTTGCGAGTTACAGCGCATTAAAGGAGCCCCGGGCGCACTAGCTCACTCCCCGTCCACACTGGCAAGGCACGTAGAGCGCTCTGACTCGGCGGCTACAGCGCTGCTGGTACTCCACCTTGGCGAGTGGAAGAATGTTTGCTGCGCCCCCGCTGGAGCACCGCAGCACCAGTGTGAACGAGGTGTTGCATTATTGCGCTCTGATCGGCCTCCGGAAACGTCCCATAATCCCCATAAGTCAAGTGGCCACTCGTGTCATTGTTTTGGATATGCCCTTTGAAAGCTCCGTTTGACAGCCGGCTGCTTATCTGCTCCGGGACAAAGCAACCATTACTGTGGAATGCTGTGTGTGAGAGAGAGGCGGGGGGTGGGAGCCTGCTGCTGTCTAAACTTACAAGACAGCATGCTGACATGCTCTCAGCTCCCCAAAAACCCACTCTCTCTCCCCCCACATACACACAACACACTCACGGCTGCTACTCTGAAACAACACACTCCCTGTCACACTCCACCCCCCAACCCCATTTGAAAAGTATGTTGCAGCCACTTGCATGCTGGGATAGCTACCACAATGCACTGCTCTCTGTGGCCGTTGCAAGAGCTGCTAATGTGGCCACGCCAGTGCGCTGTCAGCTGTCAGTGTGGACAGACTACAGCGCTTTCCCTACTGCGCTCAAGAAGGCTGGTTTAACTCAAAGCGCTCTACATCTGCAAGTGTAGCCATGCCCTTACACAAATCATTTTCAGCTCCAGGACTACCGTTCCTTGTGCTATGAGATTAAGCCCATGATACACATGATGAGCTTGGTTCCAGGGGATGGATCTCATTGACTGTGTTGCCATCTTTATACAAAGTCTAAGGTGGAAGAGACTGCTCCAGTCACTTTTTAATCTTCATCCCTATTCTATGCACCTTTTACAATTGTTATTTTAATAGAATGTCTCTTATACATTTGGGGCAGCTGTCCCAGTGTCCCATGCACTGTAATGAACAGGCGCACACTCCAAAGCAAGCATTGCTGCTGCTGCTGCTACTGGCAAGGGAACAGTCAGACCTCCACAACACAGCACTGAAGAGCACTTCAAAATTCTCTTAAACGAAACCTGATCTTGCAAAGTGCTCTGTATCTTCAATTGTCATTGGACTTCTGTAAAAGTTGAAGGCCTTCAGCTCTTCACAGGATCAGGTTCTTAATGAGCAGATATAGAGATAAAACAATTTACCAGCACCGAATCTAAAATTCTGACCTAGAGCCAGCTTTGCAAAGTGTTCTAGTGTGAACTTTATCACATAGTCACTTTGCATGGCTTTGTGCGCCCTCCTGATTTTTGCTTGGATTCTGGGGTTTGATCAGATCCAACAGCAAAAGTTATATTCACCATGTTTTGCAGAGATATCACCCACTGGCCAGGTTCATTTCAAACTTGGCCTGAGTTCATCTGAAACTTGATACAGGTTCCCTCTAAAGGGTCACAAATGCTTGGCCCAAGTTTCAAGTTCAGAATGAAAGTCAACACCAGGTGAACACTCACCTGGGCTTGTGTCATGAAGGTTTTGCACAGCTGTAATTAGAAACTCCGCAGCTCCCCTCACAGTCTTTTGTTCCAACTGCGATAGCGCTTTCCTTACTATTCCTTTATACCCCTTCCAAAGTGTTTTACAGTTACACTTGAACTTATACAATACAGCAATTGATGTGAAGGCAGCAGCTGTACATGTTACCAATTATTTCAAAAGGGAGAAAACACTAATCTTTTTCCTTTGCATTATTTATTACCAAATGATTCATCTGGGCAGTGAGAAACCAACCAGGCATTTATATAGGGAGATTTACTCCTTTTTAAATGTTTGGCGATACAAAATATGTCTTCTCTATAAGTAACTCAAACACCAGGCTGACAAAACCAAATAGGGAAAAGCCCATGTTCAGGATCTTCCCCCTCCACTTCCAAACACCAGTGTCCAGACAGCACTCTCAGTAATGTTGCCACCTACTTACATTTAATATTAGTTGAAAGCATCTGTTCGTCTCCTTTAAAATATTACTCAATCCTCGCATCATCCTTGTGAGAGTGCTACAAGAAAGTATATTATCCCAACTTTACAGATGAGTAAATTGAGGCACATAGAGACGAAGGACTGCCAAATAAATAAGTACAGAAGAGTATAAGAAGCATAAGAACAAAGATAAGATCAAATCCAGAAAGCAGAAACCACTCCTACAAGAGCAAATTCCAAGCTCGTGGAGGGAGAAGGGACATGGCCACATAAATCCACTGAACAGATGGGGAAAAATATAGACATCCTGCAGGAAACCTGTGAAGGCACATTGCCAGCCAATCCACTGTTTGAAAAGAGAAAGGGGTGGACTAATTCCCTTCTGATGGAGCTCATAATGCCAGGCCCTGGTCTGTAGCAACTCATCAAGTCATACTGAGACTCCAGAACAACTGGAGCCATTTTCAAATGCTTGAATCCCAATGCACAGGCTGCTCCATGTTAGTTAATGATGCTGTAGTCAGCCTTAATTTACAGGGAAAATTGCACCTAGTTTCTACTACCTTGGAAAACAGCATAAAGTGGCTACTCCCCAAGTCCTTCTCCGCTTCTGCCAGATACACAGCATAGTGTTTGCAGCATTTCTCATTAATGTAAATGGAGAGGAGTTGGTGGCAGCTGTTACAAGAGCGCTTTATCTCGGGGGATGTTTAAATAGTTAATAGATACAGTGCCATTAGACAGTGCTCAAGAATATGCAGTATAGCTCCAAGGTTTTGCAGAACTCAAAAAACCTGGTGAATGCAGCTATTTACATGAAGCTCTTAACAGTGGCTATGTAGTCTACGTTATGGTTGCATAGCTGCGTTTTCCCTCCACAGCCACCTTCTCTGGCCCTTCGCTGTGTAAATTAATGCCCATCTGTTACCCTGCATGTCACATGAACAAGGGGAGCAGACGAGTTGAAGTAACTTGTCCAAGGCCACAGAATGAGGCCAATATCCAGTACTCTCAGGAATAGAACCTAGAAGGGATCTTGACTCCTAATCCGCTGCTGTGACCACTAGAACATATTCCCTTCCTACCGTATGCATTGATGACTTGCACTCAGAAATGGTTAATCCAAATCATTTGTCAAAATGTCATGTTTGTTCAAATTTAAAGGGAACAAAACCTTTCAGATTAATGACTCAGTAATATGCCTGTGGTATGAAACTGATAACTGCAGAAAGCTTTTGGATCCCCGGGCTGTGGATAAACCTCGATTAACAAGATCTAGCTGCATTAATTCAATGGCAAACAAGACCACCGGTGAAGTCCTCCATATTTTGTCTCATGCTTCCATCCACCCATCACCAAATTTGGCAAGACAGGAACGGTTCACATCGATGTTCATGAAAAAAAAACCCATCACCACAAGTGAGAGAGCCAGGGCCGGCTCCAGGCACCAACAGAGGAAGCACGTGCCTGGGGAGACGCATGCTAAGAGGCGGCATTCCGTCCATCTTGGAGCGCAGTCTCCGAGCGGCTTTTTTTTTGCTTCAGCAGTTCAGGTAGCTTTTTTTTTTTTTTTTTTGCTTGGGGCGGCAAAAATGGTAGAGTAGGCCCTGGAGAGATCTAAGGATTGGGAATGAGAGATAAAGCCAGATTCTGCGAGGTGGTGGAGGTGGAGAGCTCCCTTACCTCCCATTATAATTTCCCACGCACCTAACTAAAATGTACCCATGATGCTCAATCCTTAGCTCTGCTGAGTTGACAGCTGTCACAGCCGAGGAGGGGTTTCCACATCACCTTTCCGCTCCCCACCATCTTAGACCAGTTGA